GCATTTTTTTTTATTATTTTGAAATACACATAATTATTGTCAGTATAATTTTGTGAAATACCAATGGTTTTCTTGCCTTTTTCGTACAACAACATTTTTTGTTCAGTTAGTTTAAATCCTTTTGGATTTATAATGGACTTACATGCATCTTTTATATTGTACACTTAATTAAAAATCATTTTCATAGGTTTTTAGCTGACAAAATTGTTTGAAAATATCATGATATTGCGTAGGACACACAATTATTTCTTTTTTGCGAAGAAATTTTTCTATCCTTCCAAATACTTGATCTGCAGCCATATAACTGTGTCCTCTGACAGGAAAAATGTGTTTGATTTTATTGAATATTGTATCTTTACAATTCATATAATACAATAATAAACCCATTATAAATTTATTTTTATTTTGACCAGAGCATGAGTCAGAATAAAGGTTGAGTATCGTGGGTGGTCTTGACTTTGTTTTATACCGTTCTTCAAGAATTTCCAAAAAGTGTATCAAAGCTGATCCAATCTCATTTGGTCCACGACCACTTTCACCTTGTATATAAGTAGCAGTTGTCTTTACTCTGGTCATTTTCTGACATTATAACAAAAGTAAGGTTATAAACCCATGCTCGCCTGCTATAAAATGTATCTGTAACACTCAGTTTAGGTAGTGGTTGATTTTGCATCATGTCAAAACATACCTGAACAGTATTAGGTAATTTTTATGCCATCATTCGAGAAAAACATTTTGATTTATTTTTGTGTTCCAATAATACATCTTCTAAATCAACTTTTTTCTCAATATCAATTTCATTTTTTATTTTGATTGAAGTTTCAGAACAAAATGAACAAACATCTTGTCTCGGATGTACAAAACTCAAATTAAAATTTTAACAAAAAACATCATAATATTTACTTAGAGATGCAGTAGATTGATTACTAACTTCCCTCTTTTTCTTCCAATGCTTCCACATAACTGCCACAGATAAACCAGGCTGCAAGTAACTACGGCCTGTATCTTCTCTACAATAATGACTCTTTTTACTCTTAAAAGATTCTATATGGTTTTTAATGGATATAGTTATTTCATCAAATGTATTAACCCTTGCAATACTAAATCCTCCTCTTTTTTCTTTGGGGCTGCTATGACTTTTTTTGAAGTTTAAAGATAATATAATTAAACGCCTCTTTGTAATACTTGTAATGTCAGTAAATGCAATTGAACATACTTGAAGAAGGTCACCTTTWTCTGTAGGCAAATAATAAACAATCACTGTTTTTTCTTCTTTGTTTCCTTTGCGACGATCCGTTCTTATTGGACATTTAATTTTCATCATTGTAAGGAGGAATTTATCTTGTTTTATCTTGGACGATAAATTTGTTTTAAAAGCGCTTATATCAGTTGGCTTTAAAATTGATACATTGCATTTTTTTGATATATTATTAGAGTGAGGACATGTAATGAACCACTCATGAGGAATTTTGTTTAATTGTATTTGTTTAATTTTCTTTTGATTTATTTTATTTCTTTTTCTACCACTTGGATTTGTCTGTACAGGTTCGGCATCCATTTTTTGGATGTCTAGATCATTCTAGAAATATATTAAATAATAATAATTAAAACAATGTAAAAATTAATACAATTTTCATATTTTTACTTCAGGAGTATTTGAAAAGAATAAAGTGTCTGTAAGCTCAGTATTTTCACTAATATTCGGAAGATCATGGTTCTAAAAATATTTAATTTAATTTAAAATATTAGATTAATTCAATAAATAGGTACCTCTAATTATATAATCTCACCTCATTAATAATGTCACTTGAGTTATAATTCTGTGGTTCACATGCATTTAACCAATTTGTAACTTTATCCTATAAAAAAAAAATATTCTTTTAATAATTTCAACTACCTACCACGACTACTATAGTATTTACTATATTATTATACTTTCATACATTG